ATCACCCTAACCCCCCCCCCCCCCCTAAAAAAAAAAAAGAACGTATGTCCACTCAAAAAGAGTTAAATAACATAAGAAGAAGAGTTGAAAAAGACTGTTGACCCACTCTATTACAATACATGCATAATAGAGTTCTCTCATTGTCCATAGGTTTCTTCAACAGAAAAGCAGTGCCACTCAGACACAGAGAGATTATCTTAATGTCCTTAATTTTCCATTTCTTGCATCTCCATCAAGATATAGAGCCCAAAAAGTTTGATAAGCCCAAGCTTATTTATGTTTCACTTTTTCCAGTTTCTCTTCTATCCTAAAACAAGTCTATAATGTGGTCCATCCTTCAAAAGAATCAAAAGGTTTGTCATCTTCCACTTCAAAAAAAAATTATAGTGTTTACATGCACTTTGTTTGAAGATCTCATGACATACTATGAGAAAAAGAAGGAAGCTATAAGTTCTCTTCATTTATATTCCAACACTTTGTTGAACAATGAAAGAAGGGAAAATCTTAGAAGAATGAACTGTGGAAACTTCTGTATGGATGAACAGAGTACTTTACACGTCCACATGGCTTCAAAATACTTAATTAGTTTTACCAAGGTTATGAGTTTACAGTCCATTTACATCAATGATTAAAAATTACCTTAGCTATGCAATACTTCTCTGATAGTCCTTTTTCTCGGCATTGTTGCACACTCAACGAATAAGAAGATAAACACACATGGACATATGACAATGACACATTACTTTTTAAAATAATATAACAGGGTAGAGATGCATGAACTGGGAAACAACAGTACAACCCTACACAAGTAAACATATGGGATAATTTAATTGGAGATTCCGACAGAGACAAAGATGAAGCACATGACCAGTTCATGTCAGTGTCTAGCTTTTGCTCCAAGAGGTAAACACACACCAGATAATTGAGTACAGCTGAAGAAACTCTAAACAATGTAAAGCTGAAGAGAGCAACAAAGAAAACAACATCAAGAGCTTGCCTCGGAAAATATGCCTGAACTTCCATTCAACATCATGCAGATCCCTTGCAATTAGTTCTTGGGCCGGTGGTGTCTGCGAGAAATCCTGAGATGCCAGTAAAAATGAGAATAACATCAGTCTTAGCTTCAGAGCCAAGTCAAAATTGACAGGACCATGGGATCAATAATCACCAGAGGAGGAAAAACTTTCTCTGCAGCACGGCGAGGGACAGAAAAGCCACCATGCGTGCTGGTATCACTTGCAGTCAGCGTCTTACAGAAATAGTTAGTAGGCTGCTTGCTAGGGATTCCAAACTCAACAGGAAGATATGTATCTTTTTGTTCTTCCTGAAATCCAACACAAAATATTTGTCACCCAATTCACAAGAAGTTCTGCAAAAAGGCATTCTTTATAAGAAAGTAACATTCCAGATTACCGGCGTCAAGGGCTGCAAAGTCATTTGAGCATATACTTCGTCCGTTTCAACATCTGCCTGAAATTTCCACAAATTATCAATTCTTCATGGGCCTATACAACTTACATAATAATAAATAATTCATAAGAAATATACGAAAACACAGAATGTAATTGATGAAACCCACATGCATTGTAACATTGTGGAGTTGACAGATCAACTGTGGCGGCAAATTTGGATAATTGGGTATATGAGCATCAACTTCTTTATTAGTTGTTGCAGCTACCTGACACTCAATTCCAGTAAGGGAGCATCAGTTACCTGACTAATAATGGCTGTATCACTGCTCTCTGTGCGTGTGTGTGTGTGTCTGTTTGATAAAGAGAGAGAGGAAGAAATGTGGTACCTGTTCACTATGACCCTGAGGAAAGTAAACAACACGACTTCCCACTGTTGGTAGGCACACCAGAGGGCCAGCACAAGCATGCCATAGCTCTGAGTTCAAACACTTTTTCTCTCCTTTCAGCAAATCCACATCCAAATAAAAAATATCAGCAATAATTTAATTCCACTTAATTGCAGATAAACTAATGATTATCCCAGTTAAGATTCCTTTATCTTATTAACACAAGCAAAGAAAATATATAGTAACACAAAACACACTGATAGTGATATATAAAAAGCCAAAACCCCTAAAAAGAAGACAGCAATTGAAGGAAAAAAGTATAAAGAAGTTAGAAGTAGAAGATACCTTCTTGAGCCTGCTGACCCATTCCTGATGTTGAAAGCTTCATTCTTTCTTCTTTTTTAAACTCACTTCTCTTAAAAATATCTAAAATATAAACTACAATAACACCCTTTTCTTGTAAATTATCCACTTAATTAAACAAAACCCTCAATTCCAACTCTTAAAACCAACTCAAACCCTAAATACTCCCACCAATTCATCACCTTTATCCTCAATATACCCCATCTCTTCCCCATTTTAACCCCAACAATCTTCACATGCATTTAACCAAAAAAGAAATCCCCTTTTCAACACAGCTCAAAACTCTTCTTTTTCTCCAATACTTCCATTAAAAAATTCAACAAAACAGTGAAAAAGCAAAAAAGATCAAAATTTGACGATACCCTTTAGTTCAAATGAGTTGAGTTGAGTTGATAGTATCTAAGCTAAGTTAAGCTGAGCTCAACTTTCAGCTTTTTTTACTTGGGATATCACTATCACTGATTAAGGCTTTTTCTGAAAGAGAGAGAAACAAAGGGGTCTGGTTGTCCCTTTATACCCCACCCGACCAAGGTCGACCTGATAACAGTAGAGAGAGGGAGAGCGTCAGTGTGTGTGTGTGTGTGTACAGAGAGAGAGAGAGAGAGAGAGAGAGAGAGAGTTAATAGTAATGGCTCTCATTTTGTTGAAGTGTATGTGTACTGTTAGTTATCAGAGAGACTGAGGAAGGTTTGGGGGGAAAGGGAATCAGAGCCGTTGACAGAACCGTACGGAGGATCATGGCCGTAGAATGGAGTTTGTGATTTGACAGGAGGGCATGTGCTACCCATCCTTCAGTGGTCATTGTCAGAGTACGGAGCTTCAAATATAATATTGCACATGATCAAGAAAGAGAAGAAGAAGAAGAACCAAATCTAAGAAAAAGACCACGTCAATATTGTAATAACTACTCCTATTTCTTTTTCACAATTAAAAGTCGTTCGGTTGATTATTATATCAGCATAATATTTTTATTTTAATACTCTTTCTGTTCTTACTATTTTTTTATTAGTTTATTACAATAAAAATAATATATTTTGTATTTAAAAATTATTATTTTTACACTTTCATATTCTATCCTTTACAAGGAGTTTTTGTAACCACATAAATATTATTGTTTACCTCAATTCCTTGTCTGTATCCCTCGGGGGCCTGTCTGCCGATCTGTTAGGATGAACTGAACCCGAGGGGGCTTGCAACTGGTCGTCATCGATCCTAATCTTCGATTGATAACGCTTATGCACATCGGACCACGTCACGGCTGGATACTCGATCAAATTCTACTTTAATTGTCGAGACGCAATCGAACTCTTTTCATTCAAACCCTGCATAAAAGCTTGTACTGCCCAGTCATCCGAGATCGGTGGTAATTCCATTCGCCCCATCTGAAACCTGGACATGAACTCTCTCAACATCTCGTCATTCCTTTGTTTTATCTTGAATACATTTGATTTCCTCGTTGTCACCTTTATAGCCCCGGCATGTGCTTTCACAAAGGCGTCTACTAACATAGAAAACGAATCAATAGAGTTAGGTGGCAAGTTGTGATACCAAATCATAGCTCCCTTTGACAATGTTTCTCCAAACTTTTTCAACAATACTGATTTAATCTCATCATCATTCAAGTCATTCCCGTTGATCCCCCAAGTGTATGAAGTAATATGCTCGTTAGGGTCGGTTATCCCGTTATACTTGGGTACATCGGGCATGCAGAACTTTTTGGGGATGGGCATTGGAGCCGCGCTCTGAGGAAATGGTTTTTGTATGAACTTTTTTGCATCTAAACCTTTCAAAACTGGAGGTGCCCCCGGTATCTGGTCAACACGGGAGTTATAAGTCTCCACCTTCTTATCATTGTCCTCAATCTTCTTTTCCCCGGACTCGATCCTCTTGGTGAGATCTTCAAGCATCCTCATAATGGCGAGGTCAGTCTCCGAGTCATTTCCATTCGACCTCTCTGGCTGTGGTTCAGCTCGTCGAGTGTTTTCTAGTTCAGCTATACTCGGAGTTTTATTTTGGCTTTGGAGTTGCGCGATGGCGATCTGCTAAGCGTGCAGCATCTAGAAAACCCTTTTTATGAAATTTCTAAGAGGTCAACCGGGGTACGGATGCTTTATTTATCACCGGGTAGAGATGAATACTATATGGTAGCGGCAGGAAATTCTTTAGCCTTAAATCGGGATATTCAGGAAGAATAGGTTGTTCCAGCTCGATACCGTCAAGAATTCTTGACTATTGCATGGGAACAGGTTCATCTTCGAAGTATTTTTCCTTTTCAATATTTTTCTATTGGAGTTTCCCTCATTCCTTTTATCGAACATAATAATGTGAACTAGCTTTAATGAGTTCTAATATGCAACGTCAAGCATTTCCTCTTTCTCGCTCCGAGAAATGCATTGTTGGAACTGGGTTGGACCGACAAGCAGCTCTAGATTCGGGGGCTCTTGCTATGCCGAACGCGAGGGAAGGGTCGTTTATACCAATATTGACAAGATTCTTTTAGCAGGTAATGGAGATATTCTAAGCATTCCATTAGTTTTATATCAACGTTCCAATAAAAATACTTGTATGCATCAAAAACTCTGGGTTCCTCGGGGTAAATGCATTAAAAAGGGACAAATTTTAGCGAATGGTGCTGCTACGGTTGGTGGCGAACTTGCTTTGGGGAAAAACGTATTAGTAGCTTATATGTCGTGGGAGGGTTACAATTCTGAAGATGCAGTACTTATTAGCGAGCGTTTGGTATATGAAGATATTTATACTTCTTTTCACATACGGAAATATGAAATTCAGACTCATGTGACAAGCCAAGGCCCTGAAAAAGTAACTAATGAAATACCGCATTTAGAAGCCCATTTACTCCGCAATTTAGATAAAAATGGAATTGTGATGCTGGGATCTTGGGTAGAGACGGGTGATATTTTAGTAGGTAAATTAACACCCCAGGTCGTGAAAGAATCGTCGTATGCCCCGGAAGATAGATTGTTACGAGCTATACTTGGTATTCAGGTATCTACGTCAAAAGAAACTTGTCTAAAACTACCTATAGGTGGCAGGGGTCGGGTTATTGATGTGAGGTGGATCCAGAAAAGGGGTGGTTCTAGTTATAATCCCGAAACGATTCGTGTATATATTTTACAGAAACGTGAAATCAAAGTAGGCGATAAAGTAGCTGGAAGACANCTATGGGTTTGAATCTAAGAGAAATTCTAGAGAATGTTTGCTATCCTGAAATTTTTTTGTCTTTTCTGAGTGATAAGGAGAGAAAAAAAATTGGGTCAAAAGAAAATGCCATTTTGGAGTTTTATCAACAATTTGCTTGTGTAGGTGGCGATCCGGTATTTTCTGAATCCTTATGTAAGGAATTACAAAAGAAATTCTTTCAACAAAGATGTGAATTAGGAAGGATTGGTCGACGAAATATGAACCGAAGACTGAACCTTGATATACCCCAGAACAATACATTTTTGTTACCACGAGATATATTGGCAGCCGCCGATCATTTGATTGGGCTGAAATTTGGAATGGGTGCACTTGACGATATGAATCATTTGAAAAATAAACGTATTCGTTCTGTAGCAGATCTTTTACAAGATCAATTCGGGTTGGCTCTGGTTCGTTTAGAAAATGTGGTTCGGGGGACTATATGTGGAGCAATTCGGCATAAATTGATACCGACACCTCAGAATTTGGTAACCTCAACTCCATTAACAACTACTTATGAATCCTTTTTCGGTTTACACCCATTATCTCAAGTTTTGGATCGAACTAATCCATTGACACAAATAGTTCATGGGAGAAAATTAAGCTATTTGGGCCCTGGAGGACTGACAGGGCGCACTGCTAGTTTTCGGATACGAGATATCCATCCTAGTCACTATGGACGTATTTGCCCAATTGACACATCTGAGGGAATCAATGTTGGACTTATTGGATCCTTAGCAATTCATGCGAGGATTGGTCATTGGGGATCTCTAGAAAGTCCCTTTTTATGAAATTTCTGAGAGGTCAACCGGGGTACGGATGCTTTATTTATCACCAGGTAGAGATGAATACTATATGGTAGCGGCAGGAAATTCTTTAGCCTTAAATCGGGATATTCAGGAAGAACAGGTTGTTCCAGCTCGATACCGTCAAGAATTCTTGACTATTGCATGGGAACAGGTTCATCTTCGAAGTATTTTTCCTTTTCAATATTTTTCTATTGGAGCTTCCCTCATTCCTTTTATCGAACATAATGATGCGAATCGAGCTTTAATGAGTTCTAATATGCAACGTCAAGCAGTTCCTCTTTCTCGCTCCGAGAAATGCATTGTTGGAACTGGGTTGGAACGACAAGCAGCTCTAGATTCGGGGGCTCTTGCTATAGCCGAACGCGAGGGAAGGGTCGTTTATACCAATATTGACAAGATTCTTTTAGCAGGTAATGGAGATATTCTAAGCATTCCATTAGTTTTATATCAACGTTCCAATAAAAATACTTGTATGCATCAAAAACTCCAGGTTCCTCGGGGTAAATGCATTAAAAAGGGACAAATTTTAGCGGATGGTGCTGCTACGGTTGGTGGCGAACTTGCTTTGGGGAAAAACGTATTAGTAGCTTATATGTCGTGGGAGGGTTACAATTCTAAAGATGCAGTACTTATTAGCGAGCGTTTGGTATATGAAGATATTTATACTTCAATATCACTTGGAGGCTGACTCTCCCATCTCCTATACCTGGTGTTCCTAGGCCCCCAGATCGGGCTTCTCTGCATACACTCCCTCCGGGGTCTGCGCCTAAATCTGCATTCAAAGCAATGTGCGAACTAACGTCAACTGGTTTCAGATTTGGCACTTCCCCAGGGTTTATTGGTGATACATCGACCCCTGCATTGTTGTTTTCCCCATGAAATCCAAGACCTTCGTTGTCATGAACAGGTGTATTTTGCGAGTTTGACATGTTTAATCCTGAGAAGCAGAAAATCTTGACAAGAAAAAGTGTAAAAATAACATGTGTAACGAGAATCAGTAAAGAAATAATCACTATTATCTTTAGCCCCACGGTGGGCGCCAAACTGTTTACCTCGAAAATAGGAGTAACAATTAAATTTGATTTATGATTTTAAATATATATGATTTAGTTCAATACCAGTTAATAATCAAGAAATGTGAAGTAGAAATGATAGAAATAAATGAATCAAACCAGTGTTGTTCAGCAGTATCGACCTCGAGCTCAGTGACCTCGAGATGGACCAAGAACAATAATATAAGAGCAATAAAGAGAAAGACAGTTCTGATGAACAATGAGCCGGAAAAAGCAAGATAGTATATTCTTTGCCAATTATTAGATGATGTTACAAATGATTGGGGTCCCTTTTATATAATAGGGAAACCCTAAATAAGGTACATTTCTATTTACAGTAAGGAATATTATTGGTACAGCTGTCTAACCGCCTAGTACGAAATCGTACAATTCTATTCTGGGATTTGCGCCATGATCTTGGGGACGTGGCAGGAATCTCGCTCATTCTGTTAGAAATCCATAATAGCATTATTTCAAGGTCGAGCGTACTCGGCTTTGGTATTCCTCGTGCTCCGATCCTCGAGCCTTGCTTTTCTTCGGCTTCGGGGAATTTGCAGGCGACCCCCTCTTCCTTTTCTTTTCTTTGGAAGATTTTGGGATCTCTTCTTCACCGGGGGGGCGTCCGCATAGCAACGACGTCTCCGAGGCCT